CCCCTTTTTCCTTCCTGACCTTTTCCAGCTCCACCTTGGCTCCCCAGGTCCATTTTTCAGCCTTTCTGAGACAGCCGCTGGATGCCAAAAGCAAGCTGTGCTCGCAGGGAGTGGGGCCGCAGCGCTGGAAGCCAGGGCTGGGCAAAGCCGTGCAGGGACCTGAGGCCATGAATCCTCCAGCACAAAGCTGCTGCTCTGGGTTTCTGCTCCTGCCCATCTCGCCCATCCCCTGCTCGCAGGAAGCCGAAATAAACCCAAACACACTCTGCTGCATCAGGCCTGGGCTCGTAAGTGTGAATAGTATTAAAAAGATGAGCTTTGGAGCCAGGGCTTACTGATTTTTTATTACTCAAATGAAAAAAACCAATATCCCAAACAGTCTCAAAATGTGCCCCACACTAAATCATAATGATCCAGAAACCACTGGTGTTACCATCAAGGTACGGTTTTCAGCACATTTGGTGCTTGCTGACATTTTGGTCCTGCCCTTTGCCTGCAGTAATGCTCCCCCTCCAGGCAACCCCCCCCAGTCCCTGCTCAGGGGCTTTGGCTTCCAGAAGAGAAGGCGCTCGAGGGTGCCCCATCCTCGGCAGGGTGCTGCAGGCAGCCCAGCACCAAACCGCCCGCCTCTGCTTGCTTCAGCAGCCCCGTTGGGGCAATGGGCCAACCCTCATCTTCCAGGGTGAAGCCAAGGCATGCCAATCCCCCCTTCTGCTCCTAAAATGCCATTTTTCTCCACCACAAAGTTTGACGCTGGACCCACCGCTCAGCAGCCAGGGGCACGCTGGGCACACAGTGCACCACTCCGGGGGGAAGCGCTCTCGGAGAAGGGCAGCAGGCTGCTGCCTCTCCCGCCACCCTGCAATTCCGATTTAGCAGGGGGCAAAGCATGCATGCATGGGGAAGGAGCTTGGTCACTTCATGCCTTTTTGCAGAGGGAAATATGTAACATCTGCTTGCAGAAAATACCCCTTGCAGGGCGGAGAGGATGCATTCGCTGGTTTCTCCAGGCTGCAGAGCAGCAGCTGGCAACAGTGGGGGGAAACCGAGATTGCTCTGGGGCTGGTGGCAAGAAAGATTTCAATCCTAGAATAGACTCATGGAATTGATTAGGTTGGAAAAGGCTTTTAAGATCAT